CTCAGATTCGGTCAATTTTATTACGAAATTCAAACAATAAACACCGTTTGGCGCTTGTAAATGTGACGTGAAAGATCGCTGACAGATCTCAGTTCAAGCGGCGCGTGAACCGATCATCTGTTACTCTTCACTACTAACTTACCCAAATGTAATGAAATCGATCGATCAGTGTTTTTCAACCGCGGAAAGATGTCCATAAAGCAGCTGGAGAACATACGTCACGTCACGTTACATTTACCTCAGGATGCCTTTTAATGACCCATAGCACACACGTTAGTCGGACTTAAAATAATTGCTATAGAGAGGAGTATTTTGCTAAATATGATAACTATATTACACATTTATTATATTTTTACCTATAGCATTAAAATATTATAACGTTGTTTGTTATTATAAAAACACATTATATTTAATTAGAGTTAGTTTTAACCTTTAATAATACCAGCTGACAGGGTTTACAGCATTAGGTGATTTATTTTTGGAGAACAATTAACATAACACATTAAGGTAGGCTATCTACTGCACCTAATATTTACCCAAAGGAATTGATATTGAATCAGTATCCGAATCAAATCACAAGAATTGAATTGAAATTGTGAAATTTGTGTTAAGCAATAATAAAAACAGTAGCATACCAGTCTTTGTACCATGTAAACATTGTGTTTACATAGTTAATAAACTTGATAAAATTATGTTTAGTTACCAAATAATTTGACAATCACAATAAACATTGTGATGCAAGTTTTTTTTTTTTACACCCCCCCCATCCCCATCCACCCATTTTATGTTATGTTACATTTACACTATTTACAATGGCTGGGCCTGCCCTCTTGTCTTTTTGGCTTGTTGTTTCTGATTGCACTTTAATCCAGATAATATCCCAGAAGGGAATATCAAAACAAAATAAAGTTAAAACTTGTTTTGAACAATTTCTTTGTCATCTACAGATTGATTTTAAGTAGGGAGAGAAAAAAATCGATTTAAATCGTAAATCGGATTTTTTGTGAAAAAATCTGTGATTTTTTTTTAGGCCAGATCGCCCCGCCATAACTTATGAATCTGTCAGCAGAATTTACTACAGTATTTCTGAGGTCATGAACTGCTTTATGGCTCGTCGTGTGATTAGTAAATATGAGAGGCGGACAGATGACAACAACTTTTATCTCCTCATTAATGAATTAGTTTGCACTGGTAAACACTCAGAGGCTGAAACGCAGTCACATCAGAGATCGTTTCATGATATGAGAAAAGTTTGGAATGAGTCAAAATTAATCAAATATAATAGCCAGAAAATATAACCATCAAAACAACCCACAGACTGCTTCTCTTACACGACCAGCACAACCAAATAAAACGGAAACTACTGAACATCCTCTCAAAACCTCAATCATGATCAGTAGCTCTGCTCAAACTCATGCCAGCGGCTCCAACTACACAGACTAAATATTTAGTTAAAGCTCGTGTGTAAAGAAGCGCCATAAACTACAGCTGTAGACGAGAGACATGAACCTCATCACACACACACACACACACACACACACACACACACACACACACACACACACACACACACACACACACACACACACACAATCTCACACACACACACACACACACACACGCATACTCTCACACACACGCATAATCTCACACACACACACACACACATTCAAGGTTATTATAATTAACTGAGACTAAAGTACATTAAAAAAGCATTTCCTTTACTTAAAATAAAATAAACAATAACTTTGTTTAGTATCTGTTCATAATGAAGGTCGAAACACAATATATCAATCAATATATCACATGTTAGTCTGGGCAAAAAATAGCAGAGCATAATCGTACAGGCCGAGATGAGATTACGCTGCATGATAATCTGATGGGATTAAAGCGCAAGCAAATCCAGCCTGTGTTTCTCCTGCAGTCACACACACACACACACACACACACACACACACACACACACACACACACACACACACACACACACACACACACACACACACACACACACACTTCACTACTCCTGCAGTCACACACACACTTCACAACTCCTGCAGTCACACACACACACACACACACTTCACTACTCCTGCAGTCACTCACACACACACACACACACACACACACACACACACACACACACACACACACTTCACTACTCCTGCAGTCACACACACACACACACAGACACACACACACACACTTTACTACTCCTGCAGTCACACACACACACACACACACTTCACTACTCCTGCAGTCACACACACACACACACACACACACACACACACACACACACACACACACATACACACACACACACTTTACTACTCCTGCAGTCACACACACACACTTCACTACTCCTGCAGTCACACACACACACACACACACACACACACACACACACACACACACACACACACACACACACTTCACTACTCCTGCAGTCGCACACACTCACACACACACACACACACACACACACACACACACACTTTACTACTCCTGCAGTCACACACACACACACACTCACACACACTCACACACACACACACACACACACACACTTCACTTCTCCGGAGAACGAGCTGATTGTCAGGCTATGTTCCTCATCTGGTTGCCAGTGTTCAGGCTTTCTTCCGCCCATTATCTCACACTCGTGGAAGGACTCGCTCTCGCCCGCAGAAGCTCAGACGCTTTTACACAGAAATCAGGGCCTCTTTTTAGCGCCTTGTTAAATGACGTGTCGAAGGGAAACCAGATTTCACACGACATCACTGGCAGAGACATAAACACGTTTTATAAGGTCACTCGCCGTTCGCCAGACAAACCCGTACCATTAATTATTCTGCAGCGACCAGATGTTTTTTTTGTCTGTTGATCTTTTAAAGTCGCCCTGTAGTCGATCGTTAAAGGAGAACTCCGGCGCAAAATGAACCTCGGGTGTAATAACACATTGGTACAGACTAAATCGTTCCCTGAGATTTGTTTTCATGATAATCGAATGTAAAGAGTTTTATCTCTAAAAACAGTTTAGCTTATAACGCTAGTATATTGGGCATCGAGTAAGCAAAAAGAGATCGCTAGTTAATACCATTAACAAGGCTCAAATTAGCCCCACACTAACACGGCAGCATAATGAGTGTCCTTACATGCAAACCGAAGCATTGAGAACTTTGTAAGTGTATAGACAGTTTAATAAGAAGATACTTTACACAGACAGTACAGTTAGCGCATACAGACAGCAGCCATCTTGGAAAACAGTCTCGATCAATCGAACCACGAAGGTGAGCGAACAGTACGTGTAGATATTGAAGATAAGATAAATTATATTTATTTTTTTTATTTTCTATGTTGCCTTCAGTGCTTCTCTTATGCGCTCAGTGCTTTCTTCCGGAAACAACGGACCATATGAGATTCCAAGTCACAGTTCAGCTCACGAATCACCGTGTGCGTGGTTTGACTGATCGAGACTGTTTTCCAAGATGGCTCCTGTCTGTATGCGCTAACTGTACTGTCTGTGTAAAGTATCTTCTTATTAAACTGTCTATACACTTACAAAGTTCTCAATGCTTCGGTTTGCATGTAAGGACACTCATTATGCTGCCGTGTTAGTGTGGGGCTAATTTGAGCCTTGTTAATGGTATTAACTAGCGATCTCTTTTTGCTTACTCGATGCCCAATATACTAGCGTTATAAGCTAAACTGTTTTTAGAGATAAAACTCTTTGCATTCGATTATCATGAAAACAAATCTCAGGGAACGATTTAGTCTGTACCAATGTGTTATTACACCCGAGGTTCATTTTGCACCGGAGTTCTCCTTTAATCCCTTAAAGCTCATCTTTGATCACCAAAATTACATATTTAAACATTTTTTCCTTTAAAAAAAGATCTTCATGCCTTAAAATATCTTGAATGTAACTCGACACCCTCACCTCATTTAGTATGCGCGGCTCTATGAATATGCAAATGAGCCCCGCCTCCACTCACTCACTCAGCTCAGAGATCCACTGGTTGACGATCACACGTTGATCTGATTGGTTACAAGGTCGTTTGTGACGTCAGAAACACCAGCGATTTCAAACCGTGTTTTTGAGACTGTCTTTGGTTCACTGCAGTTTTAAGGAGGAAATACTCGGCAATGCTGTCGACTTATGAACTTACACATGGTGTGTCTTAAAGCGTATTAAAAACACCACATAGACACATAAACAACATTAAAAGCTGGAGTTTTACCACAGGGGGACTTTAGAAAATAAACTCAGATGGTTGATGAACTTTCTGTTCAATATTTTCATCCATTAGAGCAATTTTACTTAATTCTAATTCTGATGAACCGAAACTGATCCTTAAACCCCAGAATGGATCTTTTAGAGGCTGTTTTCAGTGGATGAATGAACAGAACTCCACTACACACTCTCTGTCGCTCCTCCATCCCATAATCACAATCATCTGGGATACTTCTGATACGAAACAAAGTCCCAGCTTTAAAATCCTGTCAGTTTCATCAGTAAATTCAGCCAGTGTGTGTGTGTGTGTGTGTGTGTGTGTGTGTGTGTGTGTCAGATGAAGCGATCATCTCCTCCTCTTCACTACTAGTTACAGCAGCAAATAAACATCAATGAACATCAGAAGGAAAGTTGAAAGATTCAGAACAACTTCCTGAAATCAATCATGTCTCATAATCCATCAATCAGTGTTTCAGCCGTCAGTCAAACAGCGGAGAACTACACAAGTACTTAAATATGTTACTACGGTCTGGAAAAGCCTGCAGTTACACGTGGTAATTTTGTACATTCTGTAGCAATACATGTATGTAACATTAATTAAAGTGTATGAAGATTGTACTTGAGTGCCCTTCATGTGTATCTACATACCTTATCCTTCTGAAGCGTAGTCTGCATTAACTCCCCAGTAAACAGCAATTGTACATAATCTGCACTACAACATTTAATGTGTGTTTGAATATATCGGCGGTGAACTGAAGCGCCTCACCTTCGCCGGGGTCGTTCCTCGCCGACGCCTCCAGCAGCGCGACACTCGCGGCGAACGACACCCTCCGGCGGCTCTCCTGCGCGCTGCCGTGTGCGCGCCGCTTGTCGTTCCGGCGCTTCTTGTTCTGCATGTCCTTCTCGTACACGGCCCATCGCTTCAGCTGCTGCGTGCGGCGCTTCTGTGCGGCCCGGAGGCGCTCCAGACTCGGCACCTTATCCAGATTCTGCAGCTCCGTCAGCAGCTCCAGGTGACTGGCCATGGTGATGAAGACGAGGATGAGGAAGATGAGGGATCTAGCAGGGACTGGAGCCTCTCCCTGCCAAACCTCCACCCGTCATCCTGAACCTGAGGAACACACAGATCCAGCATTAAGGCCCTTGCACACTGAGGGCCCTATCTTGCACCCGACGCAAATGACTTAGTACACTGACGCATGTATCATTCCTATTTTGCACCCGCGCAAAGCGGACTTTTCCCTCCACAGACGCACGTCGGTTAACTAAGAAATACACTTGCGCTCCCCGGGGCGGTTCAGCGGAAAGAGGAGGCGTGTTCCGGCGCAAACTTTCCCTCATGCTATTTTGCTGTTCTATAAAACAATTGCGCCACTGACCAGAAAAAACCTAGTCTAAAGTCAGTGGCGCGTTGCGCGTTGTTCATCATGCTATTTTAAGCGCGCATGCTTGGCCATAATCAATGTAGCGTGTGCACAGCATACACGTTGATTCTCTCATCTAAGCAGCAGTTTTCATTTTTGCAAATCATACATTATTACGATAGATAGATAGATAGATAGATAGACAATTTATTATAAAAGCATGTAGCTTACACATTTACCCAAATTATCATACGCCTGTTTAACAGAAGTTAATTTGTGTGGGTTTCTCCATCCCCAATGTCACTTCTCTGTGTTTTACGGCCCTGACGAGAACGTTGCTCTCCTCGGCTGTGAACGCTCCTGGCGCGCGCCTGGCAAATCCGCCGTTATAATAGGAATCCGCTTTAGAACAAGCGCGCCTGCTCTTAAAGGGAATGTGAGATGACGCTCTGATTGGTTTATTTCACGTTACGCCCAAACCACACCTATGAATAATGAAGCTACTTCAGACCAACCCCTTTTAGATTTGCGCCAGGCGCAAGAGGCATTTATCCCGCCGGGATCCGCCCACAAAGTTACTTGCGCTTTGCGAGTCGGCATGGGTTACTCAGTTAGCCTAATCGCTGGTTTGATTAGCATTGAGAGATGATCTTTTGGAAAGATGAAGTGTGTGTGATGGAGAGTGTGCGATGGAGAGTGTGAGATGGAGAGTGTGTGATGGAGAGTGTGATGAAGAGTGTGTGTGATGGAGAGTGTGTGATGGAGAGTGTGTGATGGAGAGTGTGTGATGGAGAGTGTGTGATGGAGAGTGTGTGATGGAGAGTGTGTGATGGAGAGTGTGTGTGATGAAGAGTGTGCGATGGAGAGTGTGTGTGATGGAGAGTGTGTGTGATGAAGAGTGTGCGATGGAGAGTGTGTGTGATGGAGAGTGTGTGTGATGGAGAGTGTGTGATGGAGAGTGTGTGATGAAGAGTGTGTGTGATGGAGAGTGTGTGATGGAGAGTGTGTGATGGAGAGTGTGTGTGATGGAGAGTGTGTGTGATGGAGAGTGTGTGATGGAGAGTGTGTGATGAAGAGTGTGTGATGAAGAGTGTGTGATGAAGAGTGTGCGATGAAGAGTGTGCGATGAAGAGTGTGCGATGAAGAGTGTGTGATGAAGAGTGTGTGATGGAGAGTGTGTGATGGAGAGTGTGTGATGAAGAGTGTGTGATGAAGAGTGTGTGATGAAGAGTGTGTGATGGAGAGTGTGTGTGATGGAGAGTGTGTGTGCTGGAGAGTGTGTGATGGAGAGTGTGTGTGATGGAGAGTGTTTGATGAAGAGTGTGTGATGAAGAGTGTGTGATGGAGAGTGTGTGATGGAGAGTGTGTGATGGAGAGTGTGTGTGATGGAGAGTGTGTGTGATGGAGAGTGTGTGATGGAGAGTGTGTGTGATGGAGAGTGTGTGATGAAGAGTGTGTGTGATGGAGAGTGTGTGTGATGGAGAGTGTGTGATGGAGAGTGTGTGATGGAGAGTGTGTGATGAAGAGTGTGTGTGATGGAGAGTGTGTGTGATGGAGAGTGTGTGATGGAGAGTGTGTGTGATGGAGAGTGTGTGATGAAGAGTGTGTGATGGAGAGTGTGTGTGATGGAGAGTGTGTGTGATGGAGAGTGTGTGATGGAGAGTGTGTGATGGAGAGTGTGTGATGGAGAGTGTGTGATGGAGAGTGTGTGATGGAGAGTGTGTGTGATGGAGAGTGTGTGATGGAGAGTGTGTGTGATGGAGAGTGTGTGTGATGGAGAGTGTGTGATGGAGAGTGTGTGTGATGGAGAGTGTGTGATGAAGAGTGTGTGATGGAGAGTGTGTGTGATGGAGAGTGTGTGATGGAGAGTGTGTGTGATGGAGAGTGTGTGATGGAGAGTGT